TAGTAGTAGTAGTAGTAGTAGTAGTAGTAGTAGTATTTAGTACAGGGTCTACAGGGTCTCACTACACAGATTGGATTTGTAGCAGTCCTCCTGTTTTCAGCTTCCTAAGTATTGGGATTACATTTGTGTGCCACTATGGCCAGTCTCAATGGGTGTCTTAGCATGCCCTGGGTGTGGGGCCAGCACGGTGTACCAGGGATCCAACCTTGGTCTCTGTGTTTGCCTAAGCAGGTGCTTTAATCCACTGAGCTATCTGGTCAGCTCTAAGGCACAAATTGTATACCCTGATATGAACACCCATAGTCTAAGTTTTGTACCTCTGCTATAGCCCATCAGACATTATGACTGTAATGAAACTAAATTTATTTAATGAGATTCTGTTTCATAGTGAAAAAGCACACACCTATAGACAACACGTAGATAATTTTTCCAAAGTGGAGAATATAAATATAGGCAATTTATTTTAAAAAACGGATACAAAAGATTTGTGTAAATCCAAAAGTTCTAAATACTTTTATTTTGCATAATCCAATTAAGAACTTATACAAGTTTGTTTCCAGGAGATATCATATCATTTGTCTCTAAGAAAGAAAATGAATTCTAAAATTAACATGCTTTTTCGGTATTTTATGTTGAGTAATGGTTGTAAAGAAAGCTTTAAGGGCCAGTGAAATAGCTTTGGCAAGCACAGAGACCAGGGTTTGATACCCAGCCCTGCATGCTGTACTGGCCCTGCCTCTGGGGCACACTGAGGTGGTGACTGAGTCTGAGCATGGTGTCACATGCGTGTAATCACAGCACTGGTAAAGCTGAAAATAGTAGGATCACCGCGAGTCCTAGCTGCATAGTGAGACCCTGTAGCAAATACATAAATGGAAAAAAAATAGACAAAGAAAGCTTTAACGTTCTTTTTTATTTTGCAGAACCAGGGATTAAACTCAGGCCCTTTTGCCTGCCAGGGAAGCACTTGTTCCACTGACTTATCTCCCCAGCCCTATCTTTAAGGCTCTTAAACAGCTTAATATGCATGGGAGACTAATTTTACTTCACTTTGCCTACACTCTATGGTGCAAAAGAAGAATACTGAACTTGGTAAGAAAAGAGATAGGATACATAGAATAAGGGTCAGATATCTAAGAAAGGAAACAGTATGGCTAGATTTAAAATATACCAAGATGCTTCTTATTTTGTTTTTGTGTTGTATATTTCATAATCTCAAATTTTCACTCTTTAATTATATTTTACAAGAAAGAAAGAAAGAAAGAAAGAAAGAAAGAAAGAAAGAAAGAAAGAAAGAAAGAAAGAGAAAGAAAGACTGAAAAGATATCTAACTTGTACCAATCATGAGGCTTGAAAACTAGAAAAAGGAAGATGCTTTCTGAAACAGCTGAATGAGAAGTTTCTATTGTAGGGACTAATATTACAAAATCTGTTGTTTATGCTATTTTCACTCATTATACTGTATATACATGTCTTGCCAAAGAACTGTTTAGCAACATGGTGCCAGACTTATATTTCAAATATTTGCTCTTAACTCACCTTATAATTAGTTGCAAAGAACAGAGCCTATTTTATTTAGAGTTCTGATGAGGAGGTGTTTAAGAAAACATTTATGATTGTATCAACATACACATGTGCTGTGTGAAGGCACTCTGCTAGGCAGGCAAGATATAGGGATAAGTAAAACTTGTAACCTGGTGGTGAGACAGGCATCATCTTACAATGAAATAAACAGAAGGGGCTGTGGGAACACCAAGAAGGAACTGCTGGATTGAAGTAATTAGGGAGGTACTCCAGATAGATACTTTCTGAGTTAAGGCTTTAAGAATGAATGGGAATGGAACAATCCCATAAAGAATGAGAGGAGGGAGAGGGGAAATAGTGAAAATGGAAAACTTCTAGGTGAGAAGAATTGAATAAGTGAAGACATAGAGGTGAGGGACATTCTGGTACATGTATAGGTGAACAAGTAGTTGAGTATTATTTAATTGAGCATCCTTTGATTCAAAAACACTTTTTGTAGTGCTGGCTATTAGGGGAACAGTTTGTAAGAATTAATCTGAGAGGTTTATGAATGATCTGCTTTAAAGTGAAAAAGCATTGACCTTGAAACAAGACATACATTTATTTGTTTGAGGCTTGGAAACTAGAAAAAGAAATGATTATTGAATGATTCTCTAAATGATTGTTATTTTTAACTAATTTTATTGAGAAAGAAATAGCAATGAGACAGTTTCAAAACAAGTTAGTAAGGCAGTTACAATAATTAATATATTGCATATTGTTGTCTTTGTAGTAGTTACTCATACTACAAATGCAGACATGATATCTTGTCTAAACACTATTAATACAAATCTTTCTTCTCATTGAACTAAGAGAAAGTAGCTGTATATCTATCCTAACTATTATATATATATATATATATACATACTATATATATTTCACTACAAAATGGTACTTCATTTATATTCCCCTTTTTTGTTTAGTTTTTTGAGAGGTGGATATTCCATTGCCATTCAAATATCGTAAGTGTGCAAATTCAGCAAAAATAATCCAATATAGTCCAGTAGTCCATAATAGTGGTGAGTTATCTGCAGAACTGGCAATGTCAGAAGTTGTTGACTTGAGCCTTTTACAGCTCAGCATATTAATGTGACTTTACGTTTTATACCTCATTTTTATACTTTTCTGCTGGATGGTTAAGACCGAGATAAAGCAAGACCTATATAACAAGAAATGTACCTTTTTTTGTGTGTGTGGAACCAGGGATTGAACTCAGGCCCTTGTACTTGTCAGACAAGCCCTTATTCTACTGAGCCATCTCCCCAGCCCCTAAGATATGTAACTTTTATATCTCACAAGGTCATCAAATCCCCTCAGGATTTACCCTGAAACCCTGTACCACAGTTTGTAGATACTTTATCAGTGTCAACCATGTGGATGAGTCATGGCCATTGCTTGACCAGTTTGCTCTCTGTGAAAGCCTGAGAGAATATTTTCTCTCCAGGTGACTCTCCCTGTAGGCACACTCTACATCACCGATCACATTCCTCTGTGGCCCCATAAACTCCTTGATCAGAAAATTTGGGACACCACTGAGTTACAAGATGTTGGCTCTCTTATGTCCTGGGTCCTCGCTGACTTTGAAGGGCTATGGCCAAAATGTTGGCTATCCTGGTAGTATTTCTTCTCTAATTTTTTAGTCTGTATACTTAAGTTGTTAACAGTCCAGAAGAGAAGCTTAATGATATTATTACTATATAACAGAGACAGTTGAGCTTAACCTCACTATCTGTCTGAATATGAAAAACATGGAATGCTTACGAATTTGTGTGTCTTACTTGTGCAGGGGCCATGTTAATCTTCTTTGTATTGTTCCAATTTTAGTATATGTGCTGCCGAAGTAAGCACTCTAAATGATGGTTGATAATGGCTTTATGTGAAAAATTGTGTCATGCTGAAAAGGATATCATTTTTGTCTAATTGTGTGAATTTGGGCAAAACATCTGATTTTTCTGAGCATTAGTTTCTTATCTTAAAAATGGGACCTCAATACCAATCTCACTTATTTGTATTGGGGATTAAATTTGATTGTTTGAAAATGTTTTGCAAATTTTGAAGTGTTATCTTCCCATTTTTCACATTAATAATATTAAAAGGTTACTCTGATGGACCAGTGAAATTTGTTAGCAAAGAAACGCATAGCGGTCAGAGAGGCAATTTTTGAATCAAACAAATCAAGATAAAATTTTTTCTAACCAATATATTTTGTTCTTTAACCATTATAATTTTTATCTCAAGTCTTCTCCCCAAAATGAAGATAAAATGCCTATCTCACAATATTTTATGAAGATTAAATTAGATAATACATATGAAACAATTTTTCATATTTGACATTTAGTATCCTTTCAATTATTGTTTGTGTCTTCTGATATTTCAAGTGAATATGAAAAAAATGAGGGGGCCAGGGTGATACCTCCGTGGCTTAACTGCCTGCCTGGGAAGCACAAGATACCAAGTTTGATCCCTGTCTGGTACACACACACAAGAAAAAGAAAAATAAATGAGACTATAGTAGATAGAATGTATGGTACAATATATTATTTGAATGTAACTGTTGTAGCCATGCTGTAGGAATTGAAATGTGCACTTTGAGAATGAGTATAGTTGTAAGAAAAATGCAGAGGAAGAACCACATTTATTTGCTTAAATCTTCAGTGAAATTTTTATGAAATTTAGGGATTGTATGATCTTGGACATGTTTCTCAATCTTTTGAGAATTTTACGTTCTCCTCTGTAAAAAATAAATATGAATAGCATCACTTTATATATTACACTGAATGAGTCTAAAGCACATAAAATACCTAAGTGCAATGCCTCTTAGACACAGATATATATCTTGAAGGTATTATTGCTTAAATTTGGGGGTCATTTACCTGCATGATTCTCTCTTATGCACTCAGTCTCATTTAATATTCATAATTTTTTATCCTTTTGGTTAAGAAGGTGTCCATATGTTTCTATGCCTGCAAATCCTGTATCTACATCTGATAAATTTTAGGGATAAATCAACTAGACATGTTATTTGTTGAGAGTAAAACATGCCCTTATCTAGAACAGTATCAAAAGGACCCATGGTCACTGAAAAACAGGTTATGTTTTCCCAAGATGACATGTAGTACCTACCATGAAGTTAATAATATTTAATAAAATTATTATTTACTCCTTAGGAAATATACTGTAGAAAGACTGGATTTATAATGATAATGCAAGTAACAGTGGGAGATATAACAGATGACATCTTACTCTAAAATAAATAATTTTCAATAACCTTATATGTCTAATTAAAAGACACATCAAAGACTACCAAAACCTTTTCACACAAACTGTTCTTATGAAATAATTCTTCCCTGACAGAAAGTACTGGTAGAAGAGATCTACATTTATAGTCCCATGAAGGCCAGAGGTAGTGTTACCACTGGAAAGTAAGAACAGTAGGATTTAGAAAGTAAACGTAGGCCTCCCACCAAGACTCTGTGGAAGTGAAATAGCAGTTTGAAGATGAAAAGAGAAGCAGAAAAGAAAAAGTGTAGAATGACAAAAAATAAAAATAAAAACAACTAAGAAATGGTGCAAAAAATTGAAAGCTGACTTTCAGGAGTCCACAAAGAGTGCTGATCTCTGGGGATGGTTTCTCATGGGGCCCTAGAACTGGCATATATATATATATATATATATATATATATATATATATATATATATCCAAGTGGATTGGAGATAAAAAGGAATGGGTCAGTTTCATCTACTCTAGGGTTAGAATTTGGAGTGGGTTTTTCTGTTCTAGAATGACAGGTCGTTACTAGTGGACACATTTAATGGATGGGGTGAGCATTTCCTAGACTTTCTGAAATGCAAACAAACGAAGAAAGAAAACTTACTGTTTTTCTGTAGTCTCAGTTTTTCTGACACCAAATGTGTCTTTTTTCTTCCTACACCAACAGCCAGTTTCCAACTTCCAGGTAACAATTGGATATAATGCTATAATATAGTTGTAGCACTAACTGCCCATAGTTAGTCAGATTTCATTATTAAAAACTTAGTTCCCAAGACATTCTCCCTCAGTTTCAGGTACCAGTTACAAATAGTAGGTCTCAAGGTTACTCACGCTTATATTTGAACTGAGTATAAATTAGAAGTTTCCACCACCCATCTTCTTATATTTATGACCACTCAAAGAACTCAAGGGAATAGTTATGTTTACTGGCTTACCATAAAGGATATGATTCAGGTGAATGACTAGATAGATACTTAGGTCTACATCTAGAAGATTCTTGAAAGTAGATCCCCTTGGAGTATGGGTGTATCACCCCTTTATACCTGAGTATGTTCTTCAACTTGAAGCTCTTTAAACTCTGTACTTCAAGGAATTTTTATGGTAACTTCACCATGTGTGCATAATTAGTTTTAACTCAGTCTTCAGGTCCTACTCGCCTCTTGTGCATGAGGAGTGGGGCTGAAAGTTCCAAGTTTGTAATCATGATTTGGTCTTTCAGCTCCCATTGTGAAACTGTCCAAGAACCCATCAAGAGTTAACTCATTAGATCAAAAGATACCTTTATCACCCAGGAAATTCCAAAGGATTTAGAGATCTAATGGGATCTGTAGTCAAAGGCCAATTTTTGAAATAAAAGGTGCTTCTAGCACCCTTTGATTTAGAAATTACCTAAAGTTGTAGGAGCCTTCTACAGGAATTGAGAGGAAAACACTTACTATTTCATAATATCATACAATGTAATGCAGAAAGCACTTTTTTTCTGCAAACAATATATAATGCTTTGCACATAAGAAGTTAGATTTCTATTTTAGAAAATTTCACTAAAATTATTATTCTTAGTTGATTCTGGAGTGTCTTGAAAAGACATCACTAATAACTGTTTGTAAGTGAAAAGTAAGCCCTTGTTTAGTAAGCTGAAAAATTGCTTGATTTTGATCTTATTAGCATGTCTTCAAGGAACAGACTGAAACTGTAAAAAAAATTATGGTCTGTGCTTTTTCCTAAAATATTAAACTCTGCTTCACAATTGTCCTGAAAAGAAATATCTGACAAGTACAGACATCGTCTTATACATGGGAATATCCTTCCATTGAACTGTTGTGGCACTGTGACATTTTGAAACCCCAGATCATGGATTTAAATCCTAGTTCTTCACATCCTAGCTATGAAACTTTAAACAAGTCACTAATCTATCTGAACTTCTCACTTCCTTCAGGACTAATAAAACTTTTAAAACAAGACAAAACACGTAAAGCACCTACCTGAGAGCACATCACAGAAAAGTTCCTTTAACTTTTTCCCAATAATTTTAGGAATCCCACTATTTCTGTTACCTTTTCTTATGCCTTGGATATCACATGTTTATTACTCTTTGATTTTATATTTTCTCATCTAGGATATAATAATATTATTAGTGTTCTGGAGATTAAATGAATTAAAGTGACAGTTCTATATGAAACAAAAAATGTAATGAACAATTATTACCAGCAGATATAATTCTAAATTAAGAGGTGAAATAATCTTCCTTTTTGGAGTCTCAGTCTCTAAAGAGCCACTGGTGAGTTTGTAAATACATCCTTAGTGCTGAAAAATGATACACTTATTCATATTTTTGTGTTGTCAAGTGACAGTGTAATTGCAATTCTATAATCAAAGAAGTTGTAGTGAAGTCTAATGATACAGTAGTGAAAGGAAATACTTCCTGGGATTTTAAATTTTGCTATTTATTTTTTCTATTTTCCGTTTCTTCTATTTTCCTTTTCTTTTCTATTTTCACTTCCTATTCACTTTTCTATTTTCCTTTATTTCCTTACCTTTTATTTTCTCTGTAGGATTTAGGATGTCAGCATTATAGTTGTCAATGGCAAAATCCATGCTTCCTTAAAAAGCCTTGCAGTAATGCCAATTCTGCTCTTAGCAAGATGGAAAAAAAAAGTTCAGTGGTCAATATTAGAACCAGATATCACTTAGTAATTAAACAAGTTCTTCTTCTTAATCTTGTGATGAATAGCTAACTTGGTTGATGAGTTATATTTTCAACTTGCTTCCTTATTGAATTTCAGTGAATGTAATTTTGTGTGTCTGCTTAGGAATTTTGAACATTGGACCTTAGTTGTTCAAATACTAGATAGAGATCAGAATGTGTTGCATGAGATAAACAAAATCTTTGAGATAGGTATAGGGTTTCGGAGATGTTGTTCTTGTTTCTCACTGTCACATTTTCTCAGGGAGTGCTATAAATTGTTCTTCCTAAGTAGTCCTCATGTATGCCACCTTTTTCTTTCTTTTTTTCCCCTTTCTTTTGGCAGAACCAGGGACTGAACTCAGGACCTTGAGCTTGCCAGGGAAGCGCTTATTCTACTGAGCCATCTCCCTGGCCCCATCACCCCTTTTCTGTGTGCCTCTTTGGTATCTATCTGAATGCTACGTTGCACTTTAGCATGATCCAAATAGACTGTTTGATTTCCCTTCAAGCTCTCTCTACATTAAGCTTTCTTCATCTCATTAAATGACATAACATGAGACTACCTTTGCTATTTTTCTTGACTTCACACCATCCTTTTTCTCAGCATTAGGGACTGAACTCAAGGCTTTCATACTAAAATACATTCTTATTTTTATTTTTTAAAAATTTTAAGACAGGACCCTGCTAAATTGTGGAGGCTGGGCTTGAACTTGTGATCTCCTTGCTTCAGCCTTGCAGAGTGCTAGGATTTCAGACTTGGATGTGCCTTTGCATCTGGATCACACCACTTTGTTAACCCGTAAGGAAGCTTGATTAGACTATATCCTGCATCCGATCATTATTTTATCATCTCTGTATTTCCATTACTTCAATCATGGTTTAGGGCATCAT